TCCGACCGATGCCTGTCAGGAAGCCTTGTTCGACATTCGCACTTTGGGGGCTGGTCCACATGTATGCGCTCAACCCAGCTTGTTGCCTTGAAGCATCCTTTGACATGACAAAAGTATGATGTTGATAGAAAGCATTAATATTCACTGTAGGTGTTTCAGATACTGTTTCCCCTATACTCTTCTGGAAATCCACAACACGAGCCTGCATTCTGGGTTTTGGCACTATGTTCCCTCATCACCGGTGGTTCCTGATTCATTCATTCCTTCACACTTTCGTAAATACCATTCAACAGATCCTCTTAAGTAAATTCGAATCCGAGTGATCACAGTATGCAAGCTTTCCCGATACAGCGTTTACCCATTCTTATGTCTTAGTACCGGAGTAACTGATCCGGCACAACCACAGGGGATCCCGAAAACTCTTGAACACTTTACAAGCATGACAGAAAGATCCAGGAGAGTTTGAGTATCTGTGGGGAACACTCTGTTAGTAGCCATCCGTTCGTAGTATCTTGAAATGCACTTGTCGGACATCTCTTTCCGTTGCAGATCTCGCTGCGCACAAAACACCTTCTTGCAGCTTAAAGAAATTCTTGATCCATAACTGTAAGATGGGTGTGCAACTGACTTTTCGGCTTGTTCTTCAAATGCTGTGCCATCGCCAACACTTCCCCAAAAAGTCCCGGCTCTTCTGTAGCACAGTTGTTATGGCGGTCCATCCTATAACTTTTCACATAGAAATGTCGAACAACATATCGAAATGGAGTGCACCTAGTGCTGGAAAATCTAATCGAAGCTGTCTCCGTTCTTTGCTTCGTTCTTGAAGAATCTCGTCGCTTTCATCTTCCCAGATCACCGTCAGGCCCTTCCACTTCTTTCCCGCTTAGTACTTCCATTAGCACACTGTTTTCGTCATCAAAGCTCACTTTCAAGAATACAGTACCCGTGTCAAATAGTGGTTCATTGATTCAGCGGTACCTTAGCCGACTTGGCTGCTTCATTTGAGTGGGGCAGTGCTTTGCTGATAGCATTACGGCATTCATATGCACTTGGTTGAAGTAGACCGGCTTGATAATTCCCTGCTCTTCGACTTGATATAGGCCTTAGACACGTCATCTCCATCTAGACCTTCCGCAATTGCCTTTGCAGAAAACTTCCCCTTCAACTGTAGTCGGGCTCTCTTGAAAAGTCGATTTTTTAGTCCCAATACTATCACAACCAACAGCAGAACAAGTGAATGATGAATTCCGGTTGGGACAGCTGACAAAGTGCGCCATAGAGGAGGAGTAAGAGGGGGGGATCTTCTGTGTTCGTCCAGTTACCTCCACATCCGTCCACCATGAGTCTGAAATCTTCATACTTCCGACGCATATGGGAAGTTCAGCAAACACAACTGAATTAAGGCATCAGAATCCGTCTCTTGTAAAAAAGCCTTTGAAGATCATGCTGGAGCTGTAAAACGAACCCCTTCTTTTGCATCTCCTGGACAAATGTCTTAACTCGCTCATGTTATCGACCACCATTGGTCTCAGTAGCTAGACCATCCGGAAAGTAGCAGCTGAAAAGTTCGTGTAGCTCCACATTCGAATTCTCAGATTCGACTTCTTTACTGCCATCCACTATCACAGGTTCACACCCTGTAACTCTCTCGGTACGCATCAAGATCGACGTGGTTCCGCTCCGGTTATTCTGTACCAGCCACTCCACAGCCGCCATGATCTTGTCGGTACGAATACTCCGAGTGTGCCTTCTATTTTCTGGTCTGGCGTCATTTCCCTGATAGCAGTATCACGTCATTCTTGTTCAGCCCATATGCTTCTAGATGTGCCGTTGCATGACCAATCACATTGTAGTCTACCGCATAAAGGTCATGATCCCCTTCAAAGTTTTCATACTTCCGCCAACATAGGAAAAAAAGTACCCGTAAGATTTCACGGCGTAATAAAGGCTATCTCGACTTCTGTTAATTCCTGAGAATATCAGGTGCACATTCCAACAAAGTTGCTTTGACAATAGCTATAGTGCTTTCAGGCTTCTCCTTCTTCAGTTTCCCGTGACATCCTTTGCATACAGGATATGCCCCATTTCGACCGTTGCGCCTTTTCCCGTAAACTCCAACAGTGGTGAAAGCGCCAGTTCACCAAGCCATCTTCGACATCACCTTCAGAACCTCGCAGGTGGATCCCTAAAACGGGTAACAGTCTTCAACAACGTTCACAACGGTACTCCGGATTGATCTTGGAAGACTTTGTCACCAACGTAGATGTTCTTGAACCTTCTTTAACTGATCGAAGAACAACCATTCCACATTGTTTTCATGCATGATGGTTTTCATCGCATACCGAGCAGACATAGGGCGTAAACGTCTTGGTCCATGGATCCATCATCATCAGATTGTCATCTACCGACGGTTGATGTTAGCCTAAACGCACTCCACGGTCTTGACATTGCCGATAATTTCAAAGGCTCAAATTTGGACATGGACATGGAAGCTGCCACCAAGAAGAAAAGAAAGCCACCAAGAAGCACTGCATGAGAGGAACAACATCCTGCCATTAGGATTTTGTTAGGAACGAAGCCTATCTTCCACAGTTCTTCGAAACGACACTTTCGCTGTTTGCATCGTGGTAATCGAAGCAAAAATTGTACTCTATTATCTATACTCACGTATCCAATTTTCACTATAGATCACTGACTTCAACTGCGTAGGCAATCACGCTTTCTACACCCAACCACATATGAAAACAGCGTGACAAATATTTATTCATTTCAGCGAACCGTCGCACCACGTTTCCTAACTCTGTCATGTTGATCGATTAAGTAAATCCCACGTCTTCATTTACAGCCCTCCCATCTCGCTGTGATTTTCACTTAGATGACAATATACCCCGAAAATCAAAAATCGTGAGGGCCCGCTCTATCATCTGGTGGATAAGATAAATTATCATTATATGCACCGGTTTAAATACCCTAAATCCCTGCACGGCAGCAAATTGGGGGATTTCACACAACTCCAATCACACGTGTGTTCTTCATGTGTCTACCGTACCGTCCTCTTAAATAATTCAAATCGAATCTTTCACGAAACTTGCGATGTCTAGCGAAGGTATCGTGCACGACTTCCGCTGGCAACGCCCTCTTCCCCCTTCGATACAAGTGTACTGTTTCACTATAGGATTACAAGCCAGGCTACAAATCTCCGCTCAATCGTATCAGCGAATACACTCAGGCGAAGACATCCCCGCTTTCTATATATACTTTCTTTGCATTGAAAATGTATATATGCAACCATTCCTACGCATCGATCATCTTGAAACAGTCACAAAATCGGTTCAGCAAAACCTCAAACATCCCTCATCCTACCTAGCAGCCAACCCATCAGCCATCTCTCCTGCCCACGTAAGTACTTTCTATTTTACCTTCTTCTGTTTGACAATGTTTTGCCTTTCAACATGGCCACTCACCTTCCTCTTTCGGACTTCAAGTTTTCAGAACTCCTTCACCATGTCTTCCCAAACACCCGACATACAACACACGTCGTCGCAATCGAACCCCTACTTCCGCGGGTATCAACAGCAAGAAGAAAAAGGGCGGGCAACAAAGCAAGAGGTCCTTTCAACTCCTGTGAGTTCCACGCTGTAATTCCCAGCAACCTCAAGGAAGACGAAGAATACCCCTTCCCCGGAATGTTCCTCAAGTTCACAGGCTTTGTTGAAAAGAAAGCTACCGGGTGTATGTACAACCGACGCAAAGACCACTCCGTCAACGCGTTAAACCCAAAGACATGATGGCCTTTGTTCAAGCCCGTCGCTGACAAGCACATGACGAGTGGGTATTCAAATTGGTGGACCCGCTTCTGCTGATGGGGAAAAGCTCCTTATGTACGAGGCCACCAACGGTACTTCTTATGACCAAAGAGGCTTTGTTATCATGTGCCCCAGAGGTGAAGTTGACGGACAAACTGGTGAACGTTTCTTACCCCAGATCCCAACCCCAGAAATGGCCTTGAAGTGGTTCAATGAAACCTTTAAACCGGCCTACATGCAATACGTGTACGACCCGGCAAAGAAGGATGAACCCTACCTAGTTCTCGACGAACAGGACAAGTGGTACAAGGTCCATGACACCTGGAGTGAGCTGATCACCCACTCCGACATCATGACTCACCTTGTGACGGATTCTTGGATCGATCAAGGCGAATACCGCACTGTATCCGAATTCCTCAAGACGACAAGGGCCATGTGTACTCTATTTGCCTCGTGGTCAACTCCCGGCTTCACGTCTTACGTCCGTTGATTTCACCGAAACAACTTGGATGCATCGGACTTCGTCGCATGCGGGCCATCACTGGTGCCCGTCGCACATTATTACAAGCCACTACGCACGCACACCATCCCCCGCCCCCACCTCTACTCCACCAGTCGCCTTCAAGCTGCCACACTGGCCCTTCCCCATTGGTTTTGCACTACCCCCGGCATGAACTTTGAGGCCTTCTTGGGAACTCTTCTCGAAAAGCACCACAGGAAACGGTGGTAAGTCTCCTAAGTAGCTTCCCGTATAAATCCCCCGTGCCCTCACTTTCAAATCCTCAATACTGGACCTCCCAATATTATTCGCAAACCATTCCCAGTTCCAATGCAACCAAATACGTCATCTCCCGTCCCACCTGTTCCACGAACCACGTCGGCCAAAGTATCACCTGCGAATAGTCAGAATGATGACACTTCACAAGGTATGAAGAAAGCTGCCGAACTTGCTCACGATCCTATTACCGAATACCCAGTTCCGACGAAGAGCGGGAAACAGAGGAAAAAGAAGACACCAAGCTCCCAGCGAAGCGAGCCAACCCTCCACTTAACACACGTTGACTTCAAAATTGCAAAACCTAAACCCTAAATATAGGCCACATGATTCATTCGATTCTATTCACCATTATCCTGTATTAGTAGACAAGTTAAACTAGTACTGGAAACGGAGACGACCCAGGGGGCATATGAATAGTTGCTGTCATTGGGGGTGCCAGGAAAATGGCATGGTGGTGAGGCGAGGCTTGAAGTCAAGTCTTTGGAATTGGTACAGCGTAGCTGGCACAACAAGTCAGTAACTCCAAGCTCACCAAAGAAGTACTTTATCATTGGATCGAAGACAACCATCCAATGACACACTCCCAAGCCCACTTTCGCCACCAGGTTTCTTCCCTCCTTGATGTCACGTCGTTGTTGGAGCCAGCGCTGGTCAATCGGTGGAAAAGAGGGGCAAAATCCATTCTTCTGTGCATCCGGAGTGACCATATTCTGGAAAGCAATGTGGCTCGGTATCTATTGGAGCTATTGGAGACTATTAACGCCTTGGAGGGACTCGAGAAGTTCCAATTGATTATCCGAGGTCAGCGCAGTCGACTTCGAACTTCGGTGTTGGCAGCCATCGTGGAAAAAGCAAAGAAAATGACAACGCTGGAAATTTCCAATGCCTTCATTCTGGTAGATTGTCCAAACAGTGATGAATGCAACCGCGCATTGCGACAACATGGCACTTTGGACAGCATGGCACTTTTGGATTGCCAGCCAGCAAGAAGAGACGGTATTGCTACTTCTTTGTTGCCACTGATTTCATCCTTGGCAGAAAACCAGGTGTTGACTAATTTGGTCATTGATAGCAAGGTATTGCAAGGAGATAATGAAGAAATCACGAGAGCATTGGCAGAGCTTGGTCGCAGCAGTTTGCGAACTTTCAAACTGTGCAATTGCAGAGAACATGGATTGGCCGAAGATAATCTTCTTCCTATGCTACGGCAGCTACATACCAATCAAGTCATGTCAGAGCTTTGTCTCTACGATGAATCGCCTACCCAAGGCCGCTCCGGGGCAACCATCAGTGCTGCTGTTGCCGAAATGCTGGGCACCAATTCCAAGCTGGAATCTGTCCTTCTATCGGTTCAACCCACAAATGTTCCTCCCATTATCGAGGCTCTTCGAACCAACACAACCATGAAAAGGATCCGACTACATGCACAGCATCAGTCCTGCTTCAAAACTGTGATGGAAAACCTTGCAAGAGTTCTTCGAGATGACAACTTTGTCTTGGAGCAATGCCAACTTGGTGCCGGAGGACCGATCACCTCGTCGAACGTCATTGAATACTTTCTCACCCTGAATCGCCTGGGGAGGAACTTTCTCTTGACCAATCATGAAGCCACGACGGACGACTGGGTAAAGACTGTTTGTTCCCATCAAGAACGCACGGATGTGGTCATGTATTTTCTTCTAAAGAATCCTTCGTTGATTGACCAAACTATCAGTAGTCAGGGTCTTGTGAGTGAATCCGACCACATGGCCAATGCACAGCAGCCACAAGCGAAATCGAATCAAGGCAGGGTTGTGGTGACGAGCCAATCCGAGTTTGCCGTGTTCACGGAGAGAAACAAAAGGCAGAAGCACTGAGCAGCCTTGCCATAGCCAATGCATGTAACATCTTGATGTAATTAGTTAGGTTGAAAAGGGTCTCTCTACTTAATGGGTTGATCTATTTGTTACTATAGTTGGTGGCTCCTGTACACAAGATGCTCTTTTGATTGCCATTATGTTCAATGCTTTCTCCAAAGTTTGTCCAACTTCGACCAGTTACCGGTACGAGCTAGTTGAGCTGGTGATGGTCTTGATCTTGGTCCTGATCCGTCTCCATGTGTTCCTCTTTTCTCTCGTCTTCCTCCTCTTCATCCTTGTTTGCCCGCAAGAACTCGTGCAGTTCGTCTTCGGAAAGGAAGTTCTGGTCAAGCATAGCGCTGTTTGACTGTATTCCAGTTTCGGTTTCTCTTTGCGAAGGGATCATCAGCCGGGGCAACACAGGGTAGCCAATAGCTCCGGGAGGTAGCGCACTCCCTCCGGCGCTTGCTTGTAGGCCTGCCATGGTTAGATCAGCGGGTGCGTGTTGTTGCTGCTGGTGCTCTGCCGGCTGTGCTGTTCCAGCAGCAACTGCGTCTATCCAAGGCATGGTGTCGAAGTTGGGTTCATCTTCTGGGGCCACTTGTCTAGGTACGCGACCTTCTTGGATACTTCTGGCGAGGTGATATCTCCCTCTTAGGAAGCACTCGTTGTAGAATGCTTCAGAAAATGGAGGCAGTGCAGACTGTGAGTTTCTAGGCGGGGGTGCTCAAAAGGAGCAGAAGCAGCCCTCCCACGTACCTCCTTGATCAGGGCCTAGATTGAGAAGGAGAGACAACCTGAGGATGCATTCTTCAGGGCATTGGAGCACAACAGCGAGAACAGTCAACAGCAACCCGTACCCTGTGTGATTCTGTGAAACCCAAAGAGCCGAAGCCGATGCTGAAATGCTTCCCAATCTAAATCCATGAACCAACTTGTTGAGAGGAAGGCGCCCGCAAAGGATAGTGAGTGAGCACCCTGGGGCAGGACAAGGATGCGAGCAAGGGAAGCTTGTCCAATGGACCGAGAATAGACCAAGGAATCAACGGGGCAACTTACACTGGCAGCACATCATTGCTGAACCTTTCAATGTTGTGAACCACAAAGGCCCTCCCATGAGGCAAAAAAGATACAATGTTGCCTGAAACAGGGAAAAGAAAGAAACACTGCATTGGTAAAGGGGGCGTGCAGAAGCCAAAGAGTTCCTTCACACTTCCTCGATTTTCTCATGCACGCACCCAAGTGTTGTTGGTCACTATGTAACATGCCATAGAGCTGTAAAGGAAACGGAGGAGCCGCCTCATTGCCAGCCACACCCAACATACTTGCAGCCCAGGACGAAAGAAGCAATCTTTGCAATCTTTGCCTCTGGTTACTCGTTACGGTACCTTGATTTGAACGGCTAAGCTACCCACTAGCTAGCCAGTGGAATAATGGGAGGTAGAGGATGTACCTGGAAACTGGAAATACAGCGGCAGTGATTCTTGGTGAGGTGAAGGTTCTGTGATAGGAGAAAGTGGATTGTGGGGGGTGGGCCTCACGGCCTAGAGGGAACAGTTCACAACAGTATGCATTCTTTTTTTGAGCTCAAGATCATTCACAGTTGATCTGGGTAGGCAAGTTGTAGTGTCTGACTACCATCCACCTGTACTCCTATGGCCCTTACAAGTATCATACTCGAGTAGTCTCAACCAGCTTCCTTCACTCATGTTCTTCTCTACTGGTATTAACCAACTTATTTCAGCTCTTATTAGTGATCTCCCTCGACCTCCACGGCTCCACGGAACGGTATTTGGATCTGCTAGCTCGACATTAGGGCTAAAAAAAAAGGATTTTACATGGTGTTGGCCATGAAAAGTTCAAGCGACAACGGCGAGGATCCCGTGTCCCGTGAGCTCCAACTAGTCTCCTCCTATATACAAAAATACAAACACTGTTTCAGAATTCCGGTACCGGTACTGTACAAAGCTACATGCAAACTAAATAATGGCCTTTCTTAGTACTGGTATCCAATATCCAATACTGAGTACGATGTCTCAGTACAATTCCGTACAGTACTGGTACCAGGTACCGGTAGGAACTGGTAACTGGTTCTGTTTTTCTTTGCCGAAAGCCTAACTGGCATCTTTTCATCGAGTGACTCGTCAGGACCGTTGTGGAAACGTTGAATCGTGGGTATTTCTTTAGGAGACTTAACACATCTCCAATAAGAGACTTAAAGGACTTAAAAGACATGGTTTCGAAATAGGAGACGTCTTCTAAAGTAGGAGACGTCTCCTAAAAATTGGAGACATCTCCTAAGCAATAAGAGACGTACACGTGTTAATTAAGCGGTAACTAAGTCTCTAATAGGAGACGTCTCATAATTATTAGGAGACCTCACTTTTAAATAGGAGACGTCTCCTAAAATAGGAGACTTTAAGTCACTTATAGGAGACGTGCACGTCTCCTATTTGGTGACTTAAGAGACTTATCCACGACTGAATCACATTTCCACAGAGGTCCAGTCACTCAAAGAAGAATTCTCCGAGATGAGATTTATTGAAAGATGCACGAGGGAAAATTTGGTACGATCGCCGTAAGAATCAGTTAATGCATAGAATCACCATGGTACCAGCCGTCAGCTCATAGCATCAGCTCCTAAGGCCTATCTCAGTTCTCAGTGGAATCGAATGCAGAATCCAACAATAGTCACGAGCACCAGTACTGGTACAGGCTGAATCTAAACTATCGAGACAAACGCAAGCCGGCTCACGGTACGACATTCGAATGCGAACTGGAACTTCCTGGAACGTTCCGCGAAAAGACTTAAAGGACTCTTCTAGCCTCAACCCTAAACTCAACTGACCTCATTCGATCGATCGAAGCCACTCGTATCCTCCCATTATTTCGATACCGCTATCTTTACTCTCTATTGACTCTATCAAGATGACACTATCTCCTCTTTACAGCGGCTACTCCTCTTGTAGACGTCTCCACCATGACAGGCTCCTCTCGTTTGGCTAGGCCCGAAAGCAGCAGCGGCAGCCGTTCGTTTGATCGATCTGCCGACGGATCGATTCGGTGGATGACTTCTTTCTTCTTCCACGACCATGAAAGCCTCCTCTTCCACGAGCGATCGGAGCAACCATGATACCTCCTCTTCGAACGGAGAGAGCGAACGGAGTGCTACTACCACAACAACAAGCGGCTACTACTACTGCAACAACTACGCCTCGACAATGGCACTGGAAGCTTCCGTTTGAAGGATCGGCCGATGACGACGACTCGACCTTTCTTCCGGCGATGACACTGTCACTCTTCTGGCAGACCATAACAAGGCTCCTGCTCTAGTGCTACCACAAAAGTAACAAGCGGCAATTTCTCTACTACTCATTTGATTGGTCGACAGACTGGAAACATGAAATCTACTCCTTTTTTGCCACCTTGGAGCCACAATTCTCCTTTGAACCTTTGGGATGGGTGCTCCAGTCTTCATGCAAAGCCTCCCTGTCCTCTACTAGGCTCTACAGTGTAGATTGAGTTCTGAGAGTGAAGACTGGAGGACCCTTCCCATGGAGAAATCCATGGCAGAATGACAACAAAATGGAATCCAAGCCTGATTTTTCATAGAGACTCCATAGGAAACCTTGGAGATAGCTGAGTCCCTTCAAGGTGTGGCTCTGTGAGTGTGTTGGGGAGCTAGTCTTCTGACAGACTCAGCTAGACAATGTAATGGTAGAGCTAGAGACATTTGGCCAAACTGTTGCCATGGTGGTAAATTTCAATCTTTTCTTGTTATTCTAGAACCAGTCACCAGTCATCACCACGAATCGTGCAACGGAATCGCGTGACCACTTCCACATTCCGAAAACTGTAAAATAACCGTAAAATCGAATCTGAAACGTGAAATGAATCTTCTCCGAGTGCCAGTCCGTACCCACTCAACATTTTTTTAAAAAAGGGTTGAAGTAATATTTTTAATCATCTTTCTAACTACGGCACTACTGTACCCGTACATGTATCTGCTGAGATATGTCTTCAATCTTCTCTTTGTTTGAACCTGTCATTTCAATGCTGGATTCGCGAAATGACCAAATTGAATCTGAAATGACCACTTCGTTTCTTTTTGCCAAAACGAGAACCAAATGTCAGTGGTAAATAAAGTCATCCTGTACCGGTACAGTCAATTTTTTCACAAGTAAGTTTTGCTGTCCCTCCGCAATTGGAAAGCTTAGGACATAGAGCAAGACCATTCTGGGGTTCTATGCTCTTCCTTGTATGTTCTATGCCTACACTCTAATTCCTAGTGACCCACATCGGATTCACATCCAGACCTCATCCGAGTGTACCGGTACTGTATCGCAAGTAAAAGTGTGACATGGGCGGTCACCCTGCTGCATGCCAAGCCGAAAAGCGTTGCAGGACTGATTGCTGAAGGTTTGGTAAAAAATCGATGGATTTTTAAAGGTTGCCACGTTGCCACTTCGGATTTTTTAATAATCTGTCCTCCCCTTTCCTCGGGTTTCACTAAGAGTACCATACTTACCGGAAATAATGTCACTAGATTTTACTAGTTAAATAAATATCGGAGAGCAGGCTTCATCTACTGGCTAGCACTATTAATACTACCAGTAGCTAGCTAGCTAGTAAAGACTCGTAAAGCTTGGTCGGTAATTACTGCAGTAATTCCTGGTTACTGGTTACTTACTGTACTTTTACTGCCTTTATTGGCCAGTAGTTACTGCAGTCAGTAATTCCTGGCAGTAATAAATCTGCCAATTCAACAGTAATTGACAGTAAATGACAGTAAAAGCACAGTAATCACCCTATTTCACTGCAATTACTGTGATTTACTGCCTTCAAATGGCTTTAAATTACTGTACCTGATTACTGCTACTGAGGAATTACTGCATTACTGCCATTACTGCTACTGTTTGGCCCCTCCAGTCAGTAATCAGTAAACAGTAAATACCAACCAAGTCGTAAAGAGGACGACCATGGTGCTCCTGTTTCCTGTTGCTTCATCCTGTTTCCTCGGAAAGGGATTGGACAGATTATTATACATGATGGATGCACAGCTTATTTTAAACTAACATGGACGATCTACTCAGTAATTTTTATTAAAGCATCGGAGGGAATGGATAAGGAGGAACTTCCCGTTAAGGGGGGTTCTAAGCAATCCGTTGACCATGGTGGAGAGCTGAAACAATCTATGGCCTTATGCTTCATGATACAGTAGCTTCTCTTCATGTGTGGCTTCAACCGGTTGACAGCAACAACACGATCTTCTTTTAATTTGACCTGTGGCTTGAGACTCTTGGCTGGCAACGCGGTCGCAAGGCAAGAAGAAAGGACCGTGAGTTTTCTTCCTCAACATACTTGGCCTCACGTACACCTCATAAGTGTCATGGGGAGGCGACACAACCACACCAATAATTTCAAGCCCATCAGGCTCTGATGTCTGATCTTCGGTTTTGCCTGTCGTTTCTTTGACGCGTTTAAGCACTGTTCCTTTGTTTGAACCAATGATGACCAATCCTTTGAGGTCCGCCTTGTTGTAATTTGATTTGACTGAATTGCTGAAGCGCGAAGCATGCTCGTCGTGTTCTGGCTGAAGTTTAGGACAAAAGTGTGAGCCCAAAAACGGAAATTCATAGAAGGAAAAAGAGAACAAGTGGTATCTTACCTGTGTACGAACTGCCATGATAACCTCTAGTGCACAAGTTTTACGCTGCGTGTATTTAGCGACCCCATCTGTTTTGCCGGTGAGTGGATTCTCAGGTCGTGACACTTGGTAGCCGAGTGTGTGTTCTAGCACTGTACCAAGGGCATTATTGTAGTGAGCTTCGTACGGCAAGTCAGCCTTGGACATGGAGGTCCCAAGTCTTCCGGTAGACTGGGACATATGCATCTCTTCTTCTTCGTCATCTTTTGCTTCGTCTTCGGTTGAGATTGGATCGTCAATTACCGTGACAAACGACATGAAAGGGAGGGCCTGTGCCAAGAGGTCAGCCGCAGTGTGTGGGGTTCTCTGCGTCAGTTCACGCTCGTCTTGAAGCAATCCGCAGATGTCACCATAATACTCTGCCATGAGAGGGTTTGCCACCCCATATTTCCCTGTTGCGTCATCCCAATCGTACTTGACAAATTCATCACCGCTCTCCTTTCGCTCTGGTGCCAAGAAACCACTGACTGTTAGAGGCCGCACTTTTCAACTTCCACCAAGATCAATTGTGTTTTTTGACCCCCCAAACACCACCTCGGCGAATTCTATTGGGATGTTCCCGATATCGCTGAACTGTCCGTTAACACGAACGGCTCGAGATTGCTTCATGTACTGGCGGAGCCCCCCTTTCCAGCCATCCTTTGATTCTGTCTTGCTTCTCGCAAATGAGGCCTTCACACGCGCAACACTCTCATGAATATCCCAATCAGACTTGGGGCCGACTTGGTCTTGTCTTGATTGAACCCACTCCATCGCGTTCATGAATATTCCTCGATGGCCCGAGCAGATCTTCATGAAAAATTCTACAGATTTTGGATCCAAATACACTCCAGCTGCAGTTACGTAGACTGTCAGACAATCCATTCATATCTGGCATGGGGGGATACCACATGTACTTCTTCACAGTGTCCTTTGGCGTGGCTCCTGGGTCCGGTGTACCTTTGTGGTCTTCTGATTCGGTGGCAGCTGAGAAGAGAAGAATCCTTGGAGGTCTCAAGTTCCGCCACTGCTCCGCGGCTTTGAACAGCGCGTATGACAGATCGTCGAATGAGTAGACTATATGGGCCTCGTCCAGGATGAGCGTTTTCTTGTCCGTTGCCAGTTTCTTGAGCGCCTCACTCCACGTAGGATTGAGTAGGATCCGCTCCCCCAACACCACTGGCTTTGATGATATTTTTAGTTAACTCCTTTTCGTTGCAGACCACATCGGCCATGACAAACTCGTCTTTGTGCTTGGTTGCCAGGTACAGCTGTACTTGGCAAGTGTTGTCTTTCCTGAAGCCACGGGGGCACGAATAAAGGTTGGAGAACCTTTGTCTCAGGCCACAATGTCCTTAAGCTTCTTAACAGTGTCTTCTAGTGGGATGAAAACATCCTCGTCTACGTTTGCTGGCAGACGTACTAGTAGTGGCAACTCCTTTGAATGAGTAGCATTGTCCATTGTTGATTGTGTTGTTGTGACGGTATTCCAAGATCTTCTGAAACTCCAAAACTACCGCATAGTACGGAATGAGCAGTACCTGTGCGTCTGCTGCGGAGTGCGGAGAACCAATACGACTAATTTTAAAAGAAATGGAAGAGCCTTACCGCTTTCCTACCACATGAGATGTCGGCGATAGCAGAGGTGTCCACTACCGTACCGTATGTGCGGTATCAAGAATTTGCCAGTTTCCCACCCCTGGTGGTACCGTACGGTAGCAGAGGTGTCTGGGCTGTTTCTTGCGGTTTCGCTGGCAGACGGAAGTATCGATGGAGTAGGTAGAGGAGTACCAGAGGGTACATACAGGGTGGTGTACTGGTACCTGTGTAGAAGAGGATACTTCATTCAGAAAAGGATGCCTATATCTTTGAGCGAGCCGGTGATCGGATCAGTGTCCCAACTCTCAAGTGGTGGGTCGAGGGTTGACTACTACTACTACAACGACAACAACAACAAATGACAACGCTACTACTACTACTACTACTACTACACCAACAACAACTGCTGCGCTATTTTGCCTTGAAGTCAGTGCCTACTTCGGTAGGGGCAAGGCTCTTGGCATTATGGTGAAGCAACGGTTCCTACTCAGAGCAACAATTCCTTTCGATTGATCTGTTGCGTCTTCCGGTAACCACTCATGCTGCTGTGAGAAATACACTCGGACGACAGATCTTCTGGACTGGACCTACCGGCTCTACCTGCACCGTCATTTGCTGAGCATTGCCACCACCAACCAACACCATCACTGTCTCTACCACCGCTCCAATCCACCACACAAAAAATGTCGCCGCCTTCGGGCTATGCCGGAGGCTATGCCATTTTTTCCTTGTTGTTGTTGTTGTTGTTTATCTCCGACGACGTGTTCCGACCATTGCGTCCTCCGGAAGCATCATGGTCGCGGCGTGGAAGGAGGCAGAAGTCATCGACCGACCGAATCGAATCGATCCGTCGAACGGAAGACCGCTGCTTCCAGCCTAGCAAAGCAAGAGGCGATCCGTCAAACGGAAGAGGAGCCTGCCATGGTCATGGTGGAGACGTCTTCAAGAGGAAGAGAGGAGTAGCCGCTGTCAAGAAGAGGAGATACCGGTAGCATCATCTTGATAGAGTAGAGATAGAGTAAAGGTATCGAAATAATGAAAAAAAGTAAATAATGAAAAAGAGTGGCTTGGATCGATCGTCGACTATGTGTGTTGTCAACTTGTCCATACATACTAGCTAGTATGTGTTATGCTTCGTGGGATTGAATCGACAAAGGCCATATCCACAGCTGCAACAACAATTTTCCACATTCTGGTACAATACCTATGGCTATTTGTTGCACGAGAAGATGGAAAACTGAACTTGTTGCTCGTCTAATGGTTGTTGGCTAACGGAAGGTTAAGAGAAGGCAAACAGCCTCTCCGATGCACGAAACAAGATCCTCTCCAGTTAGTCAGTTCCATAAATTCAACCATCGAAAGAGCGAAAGCTATGCTCCTTGACAATGGTGGCTTCGAGGGATCGACAATGAGGCTCGCTTAGCTGCATGGGCGTCTTGTTGGCTATAGATGTTGTTCTTACTGTGTAGCGTCTTGCGGAAGCTGCTCTGCCGATGGATGCAACTCGACTGTAGTAGCGACTGTTGCCAGTACTCTTCTTGTTGCAGCAGCGGTAGCTAGTCCTCCTCTTGTTGCAGCAGCGGTAGCGGCCTATTGTTACAAAGGCGCCTTGTGTCATTGCGTGGTTTTCTTCGATTGAGGAAACTCGAGTATTGCTCTGAGAGGAAACCCGAGTGTCAATGACTGGAAAGGAGAGGGGTGCTGGTCGGTTTCTCCCCTCTCAAGGAGACTTAACAAGGAAACAGTAGGAAACCTGCAGAGATTTAACAAAAACCTGCTGGCCCTCTAAGTAAGATGTCGGAAGTATCTCGCACCACCCCCTCTCTTGACAACAAACAACCAACCATGGCGTAACAACAACTACAACGCGCTACCATGGCGAATACCATCAACAACCACCATCAACAACAGTCACAATGTATCTGTTACTACTATTACTACTGTTGCTATTAGCTCGTTGGCCATGTTATGGTGGGCGATTGGCTCGTCGCGATGTTGTTCTTCTGTTGTTGTTGTTGGTTCCCCCTCCTCTTCCCCTCTTTGTTACTAGGCCGCTGCGCGGCCCCCCTCCTCCTGCCCCCGGGACGATACTTCGCGCTTCGCGCGATACTAGGGTGTTTCTTGCGGTTTCGCTCCTTGGTGAAGAAGGTGGGGGAGGCGTGTTTGGTGCCGACGCATTGAAAGAGTGTGGTAATGTAATGAGAGACCCTGAAACGCACGCGATGTTACACGTATAACTCGTATCACTCGTATAACTTGTATCACTCGTATAACAGGTGTAACACTCGTATAACAGGTGTAACACGTCTTACATGTGGAATACGTATAACACGTATAACACGTATAACACGCGCGCCAGCCAGCCACCGTGACCGTTCGAGTTTCGCAAAATGACTTGACTTCAACTCCAACTTGACTTCAACTCCAACTCCAATCTCCACCACAAAGAACCACCATGACAACAACCTCTCTTCTCTTGTTTGTTTGAAGGATACAAAGGTTTCTCTTGTTATTTGAAGATAGCACCATCATTGTGGGTAAGTAGGCAATGTGGTATGGCTTTGTTGAAGCCAAGAAGACTGTTCCTGTGGAAAGAGCGATAGAATGATTTCTCTTCATTCAACTCATTCTCCATTTTTCTGCCTCCACTCTCTTCATCAGGCCCTGTACAGCCTTCAGGACCATTCTCTTTGCATTCATATACTTCTGAAGGCTCACTGACAAAGCCTGTGGAAGACCTGGCCTTGAATTCTACCATTGTCAACCACTTTCTGTAGGGACCAGTACTGAACCCATGTAAGTACCTCAGCGCGCAACACGTGTTATGCGTGTTACGCATGTAACACGTGTTATGGTGTAACACGTGTTATGCATGTAACGTGTATTATATGTATCACCCGTGTTATACTTCAGGATCAATGTTCTGAGGTGTGGCTCCCCTATGTGATTGTCTAATTCGAAGAAGGCCGGAGTCATATGAGGCAAAAGGACAACGAACGATTTTGTTGGATCGGATTGCAATCTGGCAAGTAGCCTATCTGCTGCTGTCACCTCCTGATGTGATATTGAGAATGGTACCGTCGGCTTCACCAAAGACAAGAACACTCCTTGATGCAGACTTTCCTTAGAGATTCGATTTGTTTCGAAGTTAGAGATAGCCTGTCCGTTCATAAATAAAGTCTTAACAACACTGGGAGAGTGGTTCTTTAGGCATTGTTTCCGCTAGTGTGATAGTTAGTCGTACGCACCCTCCGGAGTTTTTTTCAATTTCTCCGGTGGGGGGCTTACACTAGCCCATCCTAAGTGGGCGCTCGTGCGCCTGAGGTATAGGGTTCGTCACGGCACCGTTCAGCGGATCGTCTGACGAGGTGTAGCCTTTAAAATAAAACTTCGTTATTTTTCATCAGTCAGTGAGGTTGCTACATTCACAATGATTGAACAGGAGTCCATTCTTCATATTGATATTGTATCTAGCAACAAGGAGAGTTCAGATAGGTAAGAGTCATTTTACTTGATAAGCTGTCAGGTATTATGGCCTGCAACAGTGCATCTTCTCTCTGCCTCCCAAACACCTAGAAACACCTGGCAAAAAAACTTAGCAAAAATTCGTCACTATGTATTATACGTACAACACGTAAACACATAATACATGTAATACGTATAATATTTTTCCACTTGTTGTTACTTGGTGTTGTACGTATGACTTGTCTAATACATATTAAAAAGGTTATATGTGTAATACGTATGATCTGTAGAATACATAGTGAAAATGTTATACGTATAATACAACCGCGTGCGTTTCAGGGGCTCTCGTGGAATAAATTGACCAGAAGATGTAAAAACATAAAAACAAATGATACCGCCTCATTCCCCATGTTGTTCTGCATGGGGCTGTAACATTTGTTTGGCGATTTTGTCACTTTCCTGTGGAGAAAATGAGAAAAAGGTCAATACACGGAATTGAAGCCTTTTTACGGCCGTTGCCCACCGTACCGGTACCGGTTCATGCCTCACAGTCGGCAGCCACAAAACCATGTCGGCGAAGCAGAAGAACACAAGTAGAAAGCGGAAGGAGACGACAACGTCGCAGCATCGGAGCCACCACGAGGGAGAAATTGGCGGCAGGAATGGAAATGGTCAGTCGAAGCGGCGAAGCAACCATCATTCATTGAAGCAAGATGTTGATGATATTCATAACTCTCCGAATGTTCTTTGGTGGTTGAGTACAGAGCCTCACGTTCCTTTGGAGCGAGAACAGGATCTTTGCAATGCCATCCTTCGATGGGGTCAAAAGGAACGAGGGATGCTCAAGGACCAGCCGGAGTTTCGTGTTCGTCAAATCCGGCAACGATGTCAACGCAATCGAATCCATCTGTCTCAAGCATGTTCACTGCGTCGTCATCATATGTCCGACTTGAATCCTTTCAAGTCCAAAGAAGCGCTACTTTTGGGTCAGTCTGCTGACATCAAAGCATCGGCCACTTTATTTGAAGACGCCGTCGCCAAATTTCTTCAAACGAAGGGTATTGGATACTACACCGAACAAGAGCAAAAGGCCCAGCTTTCCCAAAACAATCCGCAAGCATCGAAACGGGGAACACCCGATTTCATGATGAAGAAGCCTATTCAATTGAATGTATACTCGGTGGATCGACGCAACAATCATCGACGGCGTGTGCACGCAGAGCGAACCATTCATTGGATCGAAGCCAAAATGTTTTATGGAGCTTCGACCATTCGCGATCCCAGAGGCGCCGTAGGATCCATACCCGCCAAGATGAAGAAATATGTGGAATTCTATGGGCAAGGGGCCATTGTGTTTAGTCAAGGCTGTGGCGATGCATTGGCTGCGGAATTGGCGGAAATTGGTGTCACAGCATTGAATTGTTCCGGCAATGAATTTGACTTCTCTGATCTCCATCGACATCAACGAACGTGGTGTGCCGACCAACAGGGAAATATTCTTCCATAGCAAAGCAAAGACATGATTAAAGCGACAGAACGATTGAATCAATCCACCCCAAAGAGAATGACATGTGTATTCACTGCCAGACAATCCACGAAGACAGTCAGTTGACAACACGTGGACAGGTTTTGATTTGCATGAGACAAATTATCAAGTTTACTACTCCCTTTTTAAAATTAAATATCCCAACCAGGGGACACCCCAGTTTCTACTTCAATCCCGCAATCGATTCAAAGATCTCGTCATAGCACCCATACTCCACGTCTTGCAATCGGAACACAATGCTTCCAGCATTATCCATGATGATCTGGTTCAACGGGAATTTCATGATGGCCTTGTAAAAGACTTGCTTAGATTCCGTCTCATGCAACCATTTGAGGTACCGGTATCCAGGGGCCACCCCGTCGATGCGGCACGTGTACAAGTTGAGAGCTCTACAGCCAAGCTGTTGAATCGTCTCGCTAGTCTCAAAGTACTCCACGGCAGCAAACGCTGTTTCAAAGGAGCTGAACATTGCCTGATGCACCTGGTTGAGCATGTCGCCGGTGAGTACAAGCTCGCCAATGACCGAGAAGACGGCACGTAGGACACGGACATGGTCCTTATAGTCCATCAACAGCCGTAGCACCGGGCGAAAAGCTCCAGCGCTAATGAGATGAGGTGTGATGTTGCGATAGCTTTTTGCCATGGCTACAAGTGTTTTGCAGGCATCCATTTGCACATAAGGCGTCGTGGGTTTCGGTCTTATGATCGTGAACAACAACTCAATCACTTCCCTGACTGTTTGGAGGCTCAAGTGAGGCTTGTTCTTGATTTGTTTTCTGACGATGTAGCAAGCATCGTATTTCAGCGGTTGGCAAGCATGTTCGGCCACCCCTATTCTCAACAAACGTATTGCTCTGTTGGTCGTGTCAGCATTGTTCCAAGTAGCCTGTCTCAGGACACGGAAGCATTCGGCTAGGGCTTGAAGAGTGCCACTATTTGTGTGCGCTTCCAAGACCCCCAACACTGCAAGAAGGCACTGCTCTGACAGCGTAGGATGCTTTAGAAAGTGGCCAAGAAATGAGCAACCCATGTCTTGGTAGTTTGTATCCGCAATGTTAGACAGCACGACTTTGACCACTCTGTGATTTGCAACAAGATGAGTGAAGAAGGGGTTTAGAGTAGGGAAATTATCTACGGAAGCCAGCCGGGGCCAGGCTTAAGCAAAGAACAGTCGAAATTCAGGACTAGGTTCTGAGGGATCAGGGGCAAGAAATTGAGGACCATTACGGGGGGCAAAGGGTTTGGCTTTGCGGGATCCACGGAGACATAAATGGGTAGCTTTCACAAGGGCAATAAAGATACGGGTCTGCAGGAAGAACATCATTTGAGAGTAGGAAAATTGAGTTTTGGAGGCAGTAGCAGATGAGTGATTGTGCTCCCGAACCTTGTCATCAAGATGGATAGAATCTCACAACCATTTGATGAAATGAGCCTTCCTCTAAACCGAAACCGAGCCATGGAACTTGCAATCGTAGACGCGACGAAAACAGCACTATTCTCGGCTTCGTCAACGCCAGCACCACCCCTCATGATTGCGGCAATGATGGATAGCCCATTCCTCTGGATGGATTCAACCTTTGGATGTGCTGCCACTGCGTTGAATGCTGCATTGAAGACCCTGTCAGTTCGGACGAAGTCGCACAGTTCGTTATCTTCGTGGAAAGAGGTCGAAAACAGGTGAAGTCCGTTTTCTTGAATGTCTGTATCTTCCTTCCATGACTCCATAACTGATAGCAATGCATCCGATCCCCCACACTTAGCAACACCTTCCTTATTGCTGGAACAGGATGGTGAAGTCCAAACATGATAGATGCTGAGAAAGCCTTGTCGTTGGACCGAATGGATTTCTGGCAGTGCGCGGATGGCTAAAACATAGCTGCTGGTGACACCTGCAATTTGCTCGTCGTTCCCCACTTCACACAAAGACAGGTCATACAAGACTCTCTCAACCCATGTTTGGTATCTAAGATCATTTGGGTGAAGTCTTGCCTGGTGTATGATATATGGGAGATGCTTCTGGTGAACTACGGCGGGAAATGGTTTCATGCCAAAATGATCAAATGGACTTGTCCCTCCCCGCAGTGCCTCTTTGTTAAATGGCGGCTTCATGTCATCATGATCGTCAAAACCATTTCCACGAAATATCACTAGGAACCAGAGCACAGGGTCAGTGTAAACTTTTGAAGAGATGGGGTCGATGTTCATCTCAAATAATGCCCCCTTTTTGGGTTGAACAATCCAGTCTTGAATGGCCTGACCAAGGTCCAGAATATCTTCATTGCTCCCGGCGGCATTGGTGCAGCTGATGGGGATCTTCCACATCAGGGCCAGTCCAGGGGCATTACTTGTGGTAACTGGATAGTCGAGTCGCGCCTTACTTTCCACAAATCGGTACAATCGATCTTTCCAGTCCGAAACGCACGACAAGTCCGAATTCAGCAGCAGTCTCTGTGGAACATCAAGTTGACAGCCGTAGAATTGGATTGTCATTTGTAGATTGTGTTGACCAGGTTCTGGTGCGGACCAGGACCTGGTGATCAGAGGTGCTTCCAGATCATCCGCATTGTCAGTGCTAACGGTAGCGGTGACGCTCGGAGGTGAGAGAGTAGGATTGTTCATCGCAACTTCCTTCTTGTTCATTGGCTGAGTGTCTTTGCTAGCTGTTTCTTCAGTTTGCAGCAAGATCTTGCCTACCACATTATCATGTCGTTTCCCTTTCTTTCCCTGCATCATGTTGGTGTTCTCGTCCACGGCCCTAGTCGTGGTCTTGTTCTCGTTCGTCGTGGCCTCCGTGTTGTCACGATAAGACTGTTCGTCAGCTTCATGGCTTCTGCTGAGCGCCTCCTTTTCTCTACCAGTTTCCATTATCTCTGGCGTCAGCAGCCTATCGGGAAGACTGAGCCGAGAATTTGGATCTTCCCATGACTGCTGCTGGTCGCAACCACTGCGGGAGTCCTCGTCTCGGCTGTCTTCGCTGATTGTTGTTGCCGATCGCAGCAGTATCGTACCTGAAGAGTTCATCATCATATTATCATGCGACGAATCTTGTCCAAAGGGGTTGGACGAAGGCGTCCTCTTGCGGAGAACACTGAGGACGGAAAGCATGGTGGAGATTTGGCAGAAGTGAGGGCGATCGGTTCTCCCGCGTCGAAAAGATCGTGGAAGCAACGAAGCAACGACCAGAAAATTGAAAGAAAATGAAAAATGAAAAAGTGAGAAATGGGTGATTTCTGGCATTTTCACCCAATCGCATTGGCACGAAGTTTTCAAGTGATGAATCGAATCACGGGTAATCGGGACTGTTAATTTTTCGCGCCTTTTTGGTGGGGGGGGGGGGTCAAAGCAATGATGGTCTCATGGTCTCTCACACACCTTGATCCTCTAAAAAGGAATGCTACCGATAGCATACTAGTAGTGCCTCCAACAGCAGTCTCAGAGTTACACAATCAATTTTAGAATCAATTAACCAAGATGGAGGAACCCGACTACGATGACATGATCGAGGATTATCTGGACGACTTTGAGGAGCCTCCTCCGACCACGGCGGCTTATGACGATGATTTTTTGGAAGAGATGGAAGCCGAAGCCGCCACGGAAAAGAATGATAATAGTGCCAAGGAGGCACCTATCCCCGAAGTGCCTTCTCCGGCTTCACCCATCTCGAGGGATCTTACCAATCGTCTGAGAGCGGCATCTTCCTCGGTATCTTCCTCGGTATCTTCCACAGAGCCTACTAGGGAAAATCACACGGAAGAAGAAGCTACCACTTCACCAGTGTCCTCTCCGGCTGCTCAAGTGCGGACGGAATTGGCCGCCAGTCGATATCAAGGTGGTAGCACGGCACCAGATCCGTTTTCCTTTGAGAGGTGAGTCAAACAACAACAATCCTCTTTTAAAAAGCACAGGTGCAAAGTGTAACGTTGGAGTGAAAGGTGATTTGATTATTATTATACTTACCATTTATTGCTCTTCTATTAACCAATTTCATTTTGTGCAGGTACCAACGGACTACTAGTTGGCGTCAAGAGGCACCCACCTCTCCTTCCACCATGAGAGCCAAAGAGTGGAAATCTAGGCACCAGCGGCTGGTGGAACAAATGACCAGTAACAGCAATAGCAAAACTACAAACAAGACGAAAGCACCAGACGCCCAACTACTCAATTACCAAAAAGCCAGGAATCCTCACTATTCCGCCTGTAAGGAACGAATTTCTCGCAAGGACAAACATCTCAAATCCACTCCTACCGAAGGGCACCGCAATGTCCCCATGACTCTGGGGGATGGAACCAGACTCTTTGTACGTGTCATTCCAGAAGCGACCAGGGACGCACCTGCACCAAAGAAAACGAGCCAACAAGTGAAACATTCCTATTCCTTGGGAATCTCCATGACGGATTTAATGCGACGCGTACAAGCGATTCAACGGAAAAAGGAACATGACAGACTCAAAGACATGTCCAAGGAACTCAAACAGCAGCAAAAGAATCTTACTAATAATGCGAATGATGACAGTGACGACGAAGAAATGGAAGAAGCTCCACCAGCCGACCAGACGACGCAGGAACCTGTAGACGATCAACTCTGGGTCGATAAACATGCGCCTTCTACATTTGCAAATCTACTTTCCGATGAACGCACGAACCGAGAGGTACTTCGGGCCTTGCGCCAATGGGACCCCTATGTCTTCAAAAAGGATCCTCCCAAAAGGCCTCAGTACTACATGCAGCAACAACAACAACAGGAAAACAATGACAATGATAATAAAACCAAAAAGGATTCTAAAGACAAGCGTCCGGATGAACGGAATAGAGTCCTTTTGCTTTCGGGTTCGCCAGGGGTTGGAAAGACGACACTGGCTCACATTGTGGCCCGTCATTGCGGATATCGTCCCATGGAAGTCAATGGTTCCGATGAACGATCTGCCACGGCACTCAAGGATCGAGTGATTCGGGCCATGGAGACGGCAACCCTGGATGTGCACAATGCCAACAACAAGGGGCGACCCAATTGCATTATTCTGGATGAAATCGATGGCGCGGATGCCAAGCAAGCGTTGCAGGCATTGGTGGAACTAATTCGCCAGGAAATGCCAACAGCCAACAACAGTGAAAACAAGGAGGGAAAGAAACAGGCGAAACAAAAACGCAAACCCTACTTAAAGCGGCCCATCATTTTCATTTGCAACAATCTCTATGCTCCGGCTCTTCGACCATTGCTGCCATATGCACGACGCTTTGAAGTGGAAGCACCAGCTCCACCCCGCTTGGTAGCCCGGTTGAGGGCCGTTCTCAGCAACGAAGGGCTTTCTTTGTGGGGAGGTGCCACGTTACTTCACGATTTGGTCGCATCCAGCGGAGGGGACATTCGGTCCTCGCTTTTCACGCTGCAATTTGCAGCTGCGCAACTGCATCAACAGACGATGAACCATTCGAACCAAAAGAACAGGAATATGGACATTACCAAGTCGTTGCAGTCCACTCTGAAGCGTGACGGGAGGAAAGACGATAGGAGAGATGTGGCAGGAACCGCCATGGCTGTGTTCAAAAGGCTGAAGAACAAGGGCAAAAACGATCGACTATGGGGAACTCGTCAGGCTTCGGATCCTCGAACGAGCGTTGAGCGGGTTTTGGATGCTGTGGAGAGCTTTGGGGAGCATGGCAAGATCTTGGACTGCATGTACTTGAACATCATGAATGTCAACTACGTTGATCCCAGTTTTGAGCGATCTGCCTTGGCTCTGCAATGGCTCTCGGGGGCCGATCGAAGGAGTATCCAACAGTTGTATGTACCCTGTGCTGCCGCAGCATTGCATTTGCTCTGTCGTGTCGAACAGAAGCCTGACCTGACGTACACCACAAGAGAGCTTACAGACAACCATTATCAATTGGAGGCCAACCTTGGCTTGACGCAAAAGTTTGCAGAAGGTCTCTCAGCCAAGTATCGGGGCAGTCGTACAGCGGATTCGCTTGTGAAGGAGACAGTTCCGTATGCTCTTTGGATGTTGAGTGCTGGTGAAGGCAGCAGCGCCCTTTCACGCCCAGCTTCTTCGGTGGCGATTCTGAAAAAGAAGGAACTTGAAGCGTTCGTGAAACATTCTGAAACACTTCGATCCCTGGGATTGACCTACGTAGCCTCGCGGGCGGGCTTTGCCGGTCCAAACAACGAATACAGTGACGAGTCTCTCATGACCCTTGAGCCCCCGATTCATCGTTTGGTCCACTTCCAGTACATTGAGGCAATGCCATGGTCAAGCCGAAAAGAAATCCCTTCAGCAGTAAGCAAAACCTGTCCGACGTTATTGTTTTTGGGCGACTGATCTTAACTTTTTCTCTGTCGTTGCTATACCAGACGAAGGAGTTGCTCGCACAACGTTCAACCCTTCAAGGCATTCGAGACTTGGGTTCTTCATCCACCCCACGAAAGGATGCAGCGTCGGCGTTGAAAGGGACTGGAACACCCCAATCTACATTGAAGAATTTGGAAGCCATCAAGAACGCTGCGAAGGGGGAAAGCGAGGCTTCCAAATCTCTGCCAGCAGAACCAAAACCTGTCTCGCAACCTTCGCCAGTGGAAGACGGGACGAACAAACGGAACACAGTCGCCACAAAGGGCTCCGTAGAGAAGGGGCGTCCCGCGAAGCGTGCAAAACCCTCTCCTGTGTCAGCTCATAACTTTTTGGGAGTGGGAGCCAAAAGAGCTCGTGAAAAGAGATCGGCACGTCGTGCCAAGAACGTTGGGTTTGTTCGATCTACAACGGAAAAGAAATCCCACACTGGCAGTGGCGTGCCGTTGTCAAAGGTTCTTAGACTCAAGTTCGTCAAGGGTTTCACCCAGGCAGTTCGGAACCCCTGTAGAATGGAAGACTTGGCCTAGGTAGTTCGTAACAATTCAAATAAATGTAGCTGGTGGCCATCAAGCGAAGGCGGTTGAACCACTGCATGTACTTCTGTAGTCTCCTTATGATCTTACAGGGGCATCCAGGCTCAGCTGGTAGAGTGGTCAGAAGACGCGAAGTTTGGATACTTCAGTTAAAGGTGCTACTAGCTAGTAGGCTCTACTTAGCTAAGAGCGACGTCCATGACAGACCGAGGAGTGGCTCGGTGCTTGACGTTTCCATGGAGATATGGTGCCTCCGACTCCTCTAGTGTGGATGAGGAGACAACTCGATAATCTCCACCTTCTTCTCCTTGATGGGTGTTCCGGACTTTCGGGAAGTCCGCAGCCGCAATGACCAGAATGATCATTACAGTTACTGCTAGCACGGCAAATACCAGATGAGCCTCAACCAGGTGATGGTTGATATCAATGCAGCAGAAGAAGAGCCCAATGTAGAACATCCAAACACCCTGCAACATGACCAAGAGGGAAAATCCAATGTAAGAGAGAGCAACAACAAGAGCACAGGATGTCTCTTTCACAGCAAATTGTGACCAAGGTTGCAACGAAATCAGTAAGTACACGTACCTGCAGCATAATCAGAGCCCAACCGGCGACTTGAGCAATAAAACTGTCTTGAATAGACGAGTAGGCAAATGCGGCTGCAGTGCTTAGGTCAATCAATCCAGCGTAAACGTGGACACGAGAGTTGATCATGCCCGTTTTGTGCAGGCCGTGTGAGGTCCATAAAAACCCAATCAAAAAGCTCGCCAAAGCAATTGCTGGTTGAGTCCAACCAGAAGCAACCCGTTCTCTCGATTCTAGAAAAGCCACCAAAGCGGCCATGAAATAGCACATGAACAAAACTTGGTGAAAGAAGTTTCCATAGTCCGTCCCCAACCAAAAACAGCCTCCTGCCGCAAGTGCCATTACCAACAACCCGTAGGGACCCAACAATTTCTTGTCACGGCATGGATTGCGGCTGCCTTGGAGGGTTTGGTCAGGAGGACATTGCTTCATGCGAAAGAACAGCACAATCAGGGCTAACAAACCAGCCAGCAAAAATCCAGCGCCTGGAACAGCATGATAAATGAGCTGGCTGGGATTCTTGTCATCCGTATCGATCATCTTTGCCTATTCCTGGTCAGAGGCAGACAAAAACGATGTATCACAGTGAGAAAGTTCGGCACATGATGAGCAAATTGTTGGCTTTCACCAGACATCGAACAGTGCCAGCACTCACAACTCGGAGGGGAAAGAATTGAAGAGTGAGGTTGTGTTGCTGCGGTTGGTCGTCTACGTTTACTCTTTCCCAGGTCCGAACAGGGCTACATTCTTCGGAGGTTTGCTAACACGCAATCTGGCACGAGCAATCCTGCGAAAGATCTTTTGTCCCGCTTGCAGTTGTTGTCACGACGGTACGGTGTGGTACCGGTAGGGTTAGAGATAAAACAAATGCTTCAAAGGAGCTCTCCAAAGTGGGCCCAGCCAAAAACAAGAGTGCCGGTGGCACCAACCACGGAAATGTTTCTAGCTAGCTAGTAGGAAAAGCACGCATACCTTAGCTTAATGGCTCTGGAGATGGATGCATCCTGAAACTTCACAGAGCTAGCTAGTCCCATGTCCCATAATGATCGGCAATCGGCAATCGATAGAGGACCATAACACATACATAACAAAGCAAGGTCTCGCCGTGCTGTTGACCTGTTGACCCGCTGTCTATGTGTTTGGAAAATAAATGTACATGTATGAAGGACGCGCGAAGGGCGAAGGGAAGCCTCTTCAACCAGTACTGGTACCAAGTATTTAATAGCTGCCGTACTGTAATGTACATGTACTGAGTTGCTACCGGTACGTACTGAACACGTCTCGACCAAATTTGCACTGCGGTGGTCCTGGCCAACTTCCCCATCTTCCCCATTTTTTAAAAGCTCATCGATCCACCAAAGTTTTTTGGAAAGCAAAAAGGGGTAAATATCTCGCCACAGCGCAATTAATTGACCAGTTGGTTTGCCGTGAAGGTCCGGACTACAGTACGTCTTTCGGTCATTCATTCATGAGGTTTCACGCAAGCCTCGATTTCCAAGTTTCCAAGTCCCAGATTTCGGAGAGTCTGGACGTCTGGACAATAACATGTCCATTTTTGTACTATAAACTGTAATAGTACTTACTTCTTACCTGGTACCTGGTACTTACTTACTTATAATGTGTATGACATCATACAGTACTGAGGTTCACGGTCTCAGGTCTCAGCTGTCTCAGGTCTCAGAACTGTCTTAGGTTCTCATCGGGTACAGCCGTACTGGCCGAGTTGATAACCACGAAAGAGCAGCATGCAGGAAGAACAATCGTGCACACAACTACTTATGACCATTATGTGTAGCAGATGCTAGATTTAATTAATACTGATAGATTGATGCTGGCTTGTGCCAGCTAGCTGCGCATTCAGCAGCTCATACAGTAAAAAAGCAAGCTGCATGCAGCTGGACGGTTGAGTAAAAGCTGAAAAAGTTAGATTTTTGGGTAAACTGGACTTGACGAATTTTCTACTTTTCACCCTTGTTGAAAACTGTTGAAAAGTGGACTCTAACTGTTGAAAAACTATTGAATAAGTGTTGAAACGTGTTGAAACCCTGTTGAATTACTGTTGAATCTATAGTCAGTGGAAGTGGGGAAGTTGTTGAATAAGTGTTGAGAAAAGTGTTAAAGCTTTGTTGAATTTGTGTTTAAACGAAATTCAACAGTGTTGAACTTTTTTCAACAGTCTCAGTGCTCCTAAATCCATAAATTCAAAACTTCAACATTGTTCCTTTCAAATACCCCGTTTTCCCCAAAGTTAACTTTTATTTACTTAACCGTCCAGTACCTGGTACCGGTACTGTAGAGAACCGCGTGCGTGTACGTGGACCATTCGGTAGCTGCGGAATGCGGAAGCTTCGTGGATCGATCACCTGCAATCAACACAAAAGTCATTATTTCATTCATTATTTCCTTATCCAGAAGGCCCAAAGCAGCGATACCCACCCTTGTGCTGCGGAGTAGGCGGATAATAGACAAGGAGTGACATTGCCATACGGCCTGGCCTCACTAAATTACGATGCCATCGGAGAAGAGGAACGAGGAGGGCGAGAAGAGCAAGGAGGAGGACGGCAAAGAGACCAATAGCTCCACCGGCCCACCGCTTGCTTTGATTGCCGCCGAGGAAAACCTGGTGAGAGATTCCATCGAAAAAATCCAAAATGGTGCCTTGACGTACGTCTCAGCAGGAGGGACAGCCACGCCGTCGGAGAAAACCAAGAGAGATGAAAGGGAGACTGGATCCCTACTCCCTGTTTTGACTGCCGCTGAGGAAGGCCTCATGAGGGATTCCATCCAAAAATCCAAACATGGCACCATGGCGTTTCTGCCTTTGGCTAGGAGCAACGCCGCGCCTCCTCGTGCCTTGGTTGATGCTGAAGAGAACCTTTTCATCTCTGCCACTGGCGCGCAGCTCAGTGCTAGACCGCAGCCGCCAGCCCCAGGAGTGACTTCCACCAACCGACACTCAGAAATCCGAACAGAGCTGGGAACGCCGATGCCAATGCCTTCAATGGTACGTACTGCTGCTAGAGCGCCACCAGCACGGCCAGGTGCCTACCCCGTGCAATCGACAATGGCGCCATTGGCAATGAACCAAGGCGATGCTGCCCGTGCCCCTTGGGATATCAGCGGCACAATCTCTTCACGAGACTTGGACGCCTCGACAGAATTGTTTGATCGTGTTGGGACACGAGACAGCAACCAAGATGGTTTAGCCGTAGCCAATTTGGTTGATGAGAGCATGGACTTCATAAGTGAACTGCCCCGAGCTGTCGAAGATAATTCACACGTTTTTGATTCTGACAGGAGGAATGCCGCAGCCAACCGTGATGAAGAAACCAAGCAGTACAAGACCAATGTCCTTATGGGAGGCATCCTATTGCTTGCCATTGCCATGATCTTGCTTGCAATTCTGGTTCCCGTCGATGAAGAAATCCAAGAGACTCAGGCACCGACTGGTAGCCCAACACAAGGTCCAACGCAAGCCCCAACAACATTGGTGATGTACTATGAATCATTGTTGCCAGAGGAGACTGTGCAAACCATTGAAGAAGACCCACAGTCATCCCAAGCCCAAGCCTTTGACTGGCTCTTGGAAGACCCAGCTCTTGAATCCTTGTCGGAAGAAAGAATCAAACAACGCTTTGTCTTGGCCACGCTGTACTTTGCCACAAGTGGGGACAACTGGAAAGCCAATGACAACTGGCTCAACCATAGTGTTCACGAGTGTGAATGGTACAACAAGCCAGACTTTGCATTGACTAAGGCATTGTCAAACATCTATCCAAGTCGTCTCAAAGACTTCTTCCCCCCCACTGATCCATCGCCATCAGTCTGTGACAGGGACTATCATTATCAACATTTGTGGTTGGACCAGAATTCGCTAGACGGCACCCTGCCACCTGAACTCTATACATTGACTTCGTTGAAGACACTGTCTGTTGGCTTCAACAACCTGCTTGGAACAATTCCAACACATATTGCACAGCTCAGCTTGCTAGAGGGGGCAAATTTTGAGAATCTGCGGAGGTTTTCTGGAACCGTTCCCTCTGAATTTGGACTCATGACCAAATTGAGATATCTTTCAGTGATGAACAACCAACAGGAGGGTGTACTGCCTTCTGAAATATGGCAGCTTTCGAATTTGGTCACAATGAATTTGTTTCGCAACCCACTGCTGAAGGGGAGTATTCCAACAGAGATTGGAATGATTTCCAATTTGAGATTTTTTGCCGCTGCTGTCACTTCGTTTACAGGTAAGCACAACATCGTTTTCCTGGATTCCTGGTTCTTTCCAGCTAGAGTTCTCTCAGTTGTCCCTCTTTGTCCTCTTGTTGCTAAGGCACCCTCCCCTCAGAGATATTCACACTTCCTCTTGAAAACCTAGCTCTTTTTGGAAATAAATTACGTGGGACTCTGCCTACCGAAATAGGCCAGCTTACAACCCTCCGGGTTAGTGGTTTTGCGGATACTTCACTTGAAGGATCAATCCCATCAGAGTTTGGAAGACTTTCCAGGCTCATTGGGGTAACTTTTAGAGCGGCCAAATTTTCGGGCACCATTCCGACCGAGATGGGCCTTCTGGAAGCAATGGAAGTGAACATAGGCTTTCGTGAGAATCAATTTACCGGAACCATCCCTTCAGAGCTTGGGCTTCTGTCTGGTACCTTGAAGCTTGAATTTGCCAACAACAGGCTCACAGGCCAGATTCCCAGTGAATTTGGGAATCTCGAGACCGTGGGTGACTTGACTTTTGCCAACAACTCCCTCTCTGGAACTGTTCCTCAAGAGCTGTCCCGTCTTCAGCACCACCTTCACACTTTGACCCTTGAAGGCAATCCACTTCTGACAGGTACCATCCCGCATGGAGTTTGCAACATGAATGGCACCTGCATTGGACATGTTATTGGTCAATGCGACAGTGTTTACCAAGGTCCTTTTGGACTATTTTTTGATTGCACCGAAACGCTCTGTGGATGTGATTGTCCTTGTTTGGATGGCTAATTGCATCCTCACAGGCTAACTCCCTCTGCAGGGATGAGCACAATTGGAGGACCCGCAGGCATCCCGTGCAAAAGAAACTACGTGTACTGGCTGGCTAGATGCACCAATCAATTTCGACCAATCGCCATTCCACTGCATACCTTTACATATTATTGATTAAAATTCAGACTACTTAGCTGTACCTGAAAGTCTGAGCTTTGACAGCATGTTTTCCTCCTCTTTCCGGGCGCACTGTCAATGGTCAACTCAAATGAAATGGAATTCTTAAAATTTCTTCCCGCCTGGTGGCCTCACCGGAAGGCGCCGAAGTGAATAAATCGTGTAAAGATGTGATCGTTTTAATTTTTAAGAAGGTTGGCACATGTTCACAAACCGACTCTTTCAGTTTGGTTGCCGTTATGTTGTCAATGAAGGCTAGCTCGCTAGCTAGCAAGATCCTGTTTGTAGCACACGGTGTTTGTCCAATACAACGGCAAATTGGTTGCGGTACTTTTTGCCACGTTGTACCTTTCTTAGCTGCGTCCATTGTTCGTCAAACGATGAAGGGTCCCTTGGCTCTGCAGTGGTATCAGGGCGCTTGCACAGAAAGAATGCGACTTTGGGGCTTTCCTTTGTCTCTTTCACCACAAGGCCCACCCCCGATTCCCCCAATAAGCTCAAAAATTGTTCTCGTGTCACGTAGGGTGACTGACTCAAGCAGAGCCTGGGAATGGTCAAGAATAGTATGCCACCAGGCCGTAACAAATGATGAATTCTGGTGAGCATTTCTCCACGGTCCTCGGGAGTAGTCACACAATTCAAGACCATGGAACAGACAATCACGTCGCAGGATTTTCCTGTGTGTGTGTTCAAGGGTAGCTTCAAAAAGTCGGCTTCTTCAATCCGGCCGGGATGCATGGAGTGTAGATCAATGGCCCGTACATTCAATCGATACTTCTTTGTTGTCTTGTCATCCATGGTTCGTTCTGCAGCGTCAAGCAATTCCGTATTGATGGCCCCAATTTCGAGCAACTTCGTGTCTCTTCGACGTTTTCGCTTTTTCTTGGTCTGTGGATTATCGTCACCCTCGTCCATTCGAATGCCGTACAGCCATCCATTCCTCTGAAGATATCCCAGCACCCATTTACTGGTGGAGTGAAAGGTTGTGCTCAGCTGGCTGGCTTTTTGATATTCTTCTCGGCCTCCAATGTCCTCCAGCTTTTCGTCCCATTCTTTCGTGGGATCTCCCTTTTGAAGCGCCAAATCGCGTTCTCGAGTGTACTTGTGGAACAGAGTGGTGACTTGACGAGCCCTCTTTCTTGACTTCATCGTGGAGGCATGAGGAGGTGGCGCCAATGGCACGGTCTTCCTCTTGTTCTTGGGCGCCATGGTCGACTGTGAGTAAACAGAAAACAACCACAAGCTAGGAACGAATGAGCTCGAAGGATGAGTGGCGGCAGTTGAACCGAAGAAGAACAAGCAGCCGGAGGCTGATGCCCTCAACTGTCAAAAATTCCCAACTTTCCGGGCGCAGCCCGGAAAGTTGGCGGGGAGCCTGGAGAAAAGGAGGAGAGTTGGGAGAATTCGGATAGTTCGTTCTGGAGGTTACCTGTCGCCACAGTGCTCTGCCTACAGGTTAGCTCTCCAGGAGTTTTCCACTGGCTTCCACTGGCTTTCACCTTGGACCTACCACCGTTTTGGTTAGCTTTCCCAGTTCTCCAGCTAACTTTTATAGCAAGTTGGCTGAAGCAAGGGGTGATTTTGGGAAAATAGGCCTCTTTTTGGATGTTTGCGAGCTATTTGAAACGGCACGAGCTCTCTCTCTTTCTCTCAACCGCTCCTTGAAGAGTCGAATCGAATCATTGTGCTGCACCAACATTACACCAACACCAACACCAACACAATGGTGGGATGGGATTGTGGCTGGTGGGAGCGATCTATCTGTAGTGGTTTCTCTATTGCATCGGTAGAGAAGAGATGGCATATCAGTTGCACGTGAGAGCACTACCAACCTTGATTGTCAATTTGCCTTGGTTCGATTTGCCTTGGTTGATAATGGGATCGGATAATGCGATTGAATGCCACACACTGGAGTGCATGTCACGCCATACACTGGAGTGCATGTCACTCGTTGTGGCTAGCGAACCGTTGGTTCTCTCTCTAGCTAGGGAATGGGAGTGGCCGATCGCTACTGTGCTACGGTATTAGGACGAGGTAAGTCTATTATCAAGTATGTTATTACTGACTTCTCTCCCTCATTGAATTCCTATGGTAAACAGGAGGTAAATCCAAGTTTGGCCGACAAGCACGACAAGAATGCACTACCGGTAGGAGGAGGAGGTCCAAGGAGGAGGAGGAGGTCCAAGGAGGAGGAGGAGGTCCAAGGAGGAGTTCGTTATTCAAGCGATCGATCGATTCGATTCGAGGTAAGCATATTATCAAGAGTGTTGTTGAAGGTGCAGCGCTGACTTCTGTCCCTCATTCATTTCTATGGTCCATGGGCAGCCAGTCAGATCTCGACCATCAGCAGGTGAGTTGTTTTAATTATTCGAATCGAATCGATCAGCAGGTGAGTTGTTTTAATTATTCGAATCGAATCGATCGCACCTCTATTATCTCTGTTATCCAAGTCTCACTCAAGCCGGCTGTCTCCGGTGTAGATTCGAAAGCCATCCCTCATTGAATTCTATGGACCATGGAATGGCAGTCAGTTCTCGGCCCATGACGGCCAAGTTGGAAAACAAGGGTAAGTCTCCGGTCGTCTGCAGTTGAGCACAGAAAACAAAACTCATATCTATTTGTCGTTTTCTCTGCTGCACTGCTAACAGCCGATGAACTACCATTGTCGAGGTTGGAGGAGTCCTTTTTGGTCGAAGGATGGAGGAGTCCTTTTTGGTCGATCGATCCATTGCGATAACAAGCTACCGGATGACAAACTACCGCTACGGAGAAGACTGTTAACTCCAGCCCTACCATCCTAGGTACCACTCCAGCCCTACCGACTACCGACAGCATAAACGGATCTATCGTCGTCGAGTCATTGAAAGGCAACAAGAGGATCTATCGTCGTCGAGTCATTGAAATGCAACAAGAGGAGGCTGCGCGACAACACACAAGAGAATGGATCCTGCTACTGGATTCATCCCTCCAGTGTTATTTCCTAGTGTTTTCGTGGTGATTCCGGTGTCGGTACCCATAGTCCTGTATGCACAAGTCCTCGTGTGACACAAGTCAATGCGTCGAGAACTGTTACCCACGACAAATTTCGCCTACAAGCTGCATTCAGTCGTCGCCTCTTTGGTTGTGGTTGCCGACTTCCAAACGGCCCAGATTCGTCCAAACTGCGACAACAGTGACAAAAATTTCTCTCCGGCAATGTCACCCCTTCATGGAACCCACTTTCGTCGCTGAATGTGTAGTGGTGGCTGGAGCCGCTTGGTTTGGACAAGTCGGCGGCTTGGTGACATTCTTTTCAGTCAAGGCTACTACTAGGAGTACAATCAACCAAGGTTACATTCAGGAGGCTACAAGGCAGTCAGATCTCGGCCGTCAACGGGTGAGTGATTATTTGGAGTACCGTCTCACTCAAACCTCAAACTGACGGTCTCCTGTGCAGATTTGAATGTCATCTCTCATTGAATCATATGGTCCATGGGATGGTAGTCAGTTGACTGTGCCCAACTGTCGTTGACATCAACCGAATGAGGATGAGGAGGTTACACGGCAACACTTTTGAGCAGCCACTGCGGTCGTTGACATCCAGCACCCGTGTATCCATCTCCCCATGTAAGCTAGATAATGCAACGGAGACATCCGCAACAATAGAAGAGAAATATTGGATCACAGTCAGCACTAGTAGCTACAATAGAATGTAGCTTGACTGCATATGTGTCTTTGTCGGGAAGTGTTACTGTTGTTGTTGCTGCTTCGTTCGCGGTCAATTTGCCTTGCGAGGCAGCCCATCTGCCTGGATTCTAGCTCTGGGAGCCCCCCAAGTGCTGCCAGCCGAATGGAACTTGCCATTCGGCTGGCTCTCTCAACTTTCCAGAGCCTACGGTGCGATCCTACGTGATTTCCCTGTAGCCCTGGAAAGTTCGCCGCCCATACTCAAAAAGAGATTTGATTGGTCAAATCATTTACCGTGTTCAACTGGACACACTATTGATAGCAAGTCTCCATAGCCAGCCAGTACGGGCACAGTGGTATCGGTACCCATGGGTCCAGAGTA